CTCTTCTCTTCTCTTCTCTTCTCTTCTCTTCTCTTCTCTTCTCTTCTCTTCTCTTCTCACTGTGTTGGTCTTTTCTCCTTTGGACTGCGTTCAGTTAGGGTGTCCTTAAGTACATCCAGCCATGTGAAGTCTTCTTCCCTTTCTTCCTTTTGACCAGGTTTAGACAGTGTGAGACTCTGCATGGCTATCAGGGGTTCCCTCTTCTATCTCACCTTTTTAAAAGGTGTCTTTTTTTTTAAAGAAGAAACTGGTGTCTCATAAAGCAAAAAAATATATATATATCCTTGGCAAGCATCATATTTATTAAAAAATGGAGGATGGCTCAGTGCAATGATTTAGTTTTAGAAGTGCCCACCAGGCCAGGCTAGGAGGAGTCTTATTGGACAGTGGGGGATTTATGATTGGCCAGACCTACCATGACAACTGTGTTGCAAAGAGAAGCTTTTGACAGCAACCATGTTGTCCTAGAAAAAGACAGGGCTGCTTTAATGAGATATAAATAGGAACTGCATTCAACACTCCTGCAAGTTCTGAAGCACCACTTTTGAATCAGACCAGAAGCACAGCACAACCTTAATAGAAACCTTCCCCCAGGTTTCAAATTCCAAAGGTGCACAAGGGTTCCAAAGATTGCCCACCCCATATTTCTTGAAGAGAAACCCTACTGCAGTCTCCTTAATCTGCCTGGTCTAAAATCCTTCCTGATCCCCACTACCCTGTGCATGGCTGGAAAAATCCCAACAGCAGTGGTCGACTAAACAGTGGAAAAGATGACAAATCAACTACATGGGTGGTTGTTGTTAAATTTTAGATTGGCAGGACTTCGGGAATCCCAGCAAGTTGCTTTCAATAGTGAGATTCTGGACACGTTGCCAAAACTTTACACCAACCGAGAAGAACAAGTTACTCTTCACCTAGAATGTCGGGGTGGATCTGGTAAAAGTTGCCACGGAGCGGCTCATGTAACAATCCAGGTTGGAACAGAAGTCCCATCCTCTTATTCTTTGAGGGTTTCAACCTGCCCTCCCTCTAATGTCTTGGGGGCAGAGAATGTCCTTTGCCTATGGAGGGTTGGGGGTTCTGCAGTCTCTGCAACCATTGGGCTAGAGGGCCAGTGATCCAAATGACTAGGCTTCTGATTTATTTCTTTGTCTTTTTCTTCCCTGCATCCATGAAAGCTAAGCCCTTGCTGTTTTTTTTTTTTTTTTTATATATTTTTTTTTTTTTTTATATATTTTTTTTTTTTTTTATATATTTTTTTTTTTTTTTATATATTTTTTTTTTTTTTTATATATTTTTTTTTTTTTTTATATATTTTTTTTTTTTTTTATATATTTTTTTTTTTTTTTATATATTTTTTTTTTTTTTTATATATTTTTTTTTTTTTTTATATATTTTTTTTTTTTTTTATATATTTTTTTTTTTTTTTATATATTTTTTTTTTTTTTTTTTAAAGAAAGTAGTTCCTCATATCCCAAGGGAAGTTCTGTTAGAGTCACATTTTTGTGATCTGAAATGAATGTGGCGGGGCAGCTGTTGCAAATATAACATAATAACAAATAATTCATTGATTCTTATTATATTTAATTCATTTATTAGTTTCATGCAATAACTTACTATCTCAATTTTAGTTTGAGGGCAAACACAAAAACGAAGCCATCAACCAGCAATTACACGTTTTGGAGAAAGAGCTGAAACATCTGCAGGCAGAAGCTGCTAAGCTGCCTCCTCTGAGAGTTGTTGGAGCTGCTGTTTACATGGAGAACTTTATAACGTAAGCTGTGTATTCTTGCTTCCTCTCTGCTGTGAAACCTTGTCTCATGTGTCTTTCTGACTCTGAGCAGTGGAAACCAGGGTATGCTGGAGCTTCTGTCACAATCCCCCAGAAACATCAGATGCTCACATTGGTGTCTTATTCTTCTGAAACCTAAAATGAGAAGAAGGAACCACATTGTCCTCTCGTTTGTGAAAGCCCTTTGGCCATCTGCTGTTGGGATTTTGACCATGGCAATAGTTTTAGTCATTCAGTAGTCCTGAGTAAGCCCAAAATTAGCCTTTTAAATCCATCTTCAGAGGCTGCTTGTAACTGCATTTTTGAAAATTATTATTCATCCCATGGACGTATCCAGATGTCCATGATGGCATTAGAGGAAGGGAAGCCTCTCCTGTGTGGTCAACACAGAAGCAGACAAATTGGCCAACTGAGAAAGGCCAGGCCATCCCTGCTCCACTAAATCCTATCACTTGACAGCATGACATTATTTATGGTGTTAGAGTGTCCAAGAATGAATACCATTAATGTTCTCCATACTTTGCTTGTGTGTTTTTAAATCTCAATTTTTACCCCTGCCACAGAGGTTTAATAAATATCTATAAGATTCAGCCTACATCAAAGATTCAGCGAATTGGGATCAGCCTGTTCTTTGCCGTAGTGGAATATGTGTGTGATGAAACACAGCGTCACCCGCCAACCCGACAGTTCTTCACATCCTGTATTGAGATCCTTGGCCAGGTGAGCTGTTTAGGATGGGATTCTCTCACGGACAAATGTTGGTTGTCTCTTGACTCTGACTTAGAATTCTGTGATGAATTTATTTTAATAGTCCACCAATAGTTTGTTAAAGTGGGTGGGAAATAAATTATGTATGGTAGTAAATAAATAAATGATAGATAATTTTAAAAGAACAATCTAAACTGAAATCTGGCAGTTGAGAATCTCATCCGACACAAGCGAGCTGCATGATTTCCTGACAGCTGCGGAATTTGTGACCGCAACTCAGTTTGAAGTATCAGCTTCATTTTTTGAAAGCCCTCAGTGGCATTTAGTGCTGGAAGAGGCAAGAATCAGACTGATGTCAGCATGTGGCATACCTGGGCAAAGATTGGTGCCCCAACTGGGTCACCAATATGTGACTTCAGCCACTACCACCTGTACAACCAGTGGCTTATTTAATGATGATAGGAAAATGGTTAGATACGGAGCCGGGCTCGAACAAAATTCAAATTAGATTCCTCAGTTTATCAGCACTGACATCTTTATTACATGAGTTCTGTTCCAAGTTTGGAATAAACTTTGCTATTGACCAGGAAGGCAGGGAAATCATACTGCTGTTATAGGATCTTCTTTTTAGTTTTTAGTTTTGGCCCCCAGGGCTTATGGATATGGCCTGGAGGCGTGGCTCAGAGGTAAAGCTGAACAGAGTTCTGAGCCCCTGCATTGCCCCTGAATTTACTGACTAATGTCTTCTATGCTGTCTCCATCTCCAGCGGACACATCTGTAGGGTGCCTCTAGCAAAATAAATATTGCGTCTTTGGAGAGTACAGAGACTCCACGTGGCCCTGAGGTTTACTTAATATTTCCAGCTAATAAATAGATATCACAGGCACCTGCAACAATATGAAGGTCTAAAGATCTCTTTTAGGTCTAAAATGCACCCACAACTGACCTATAGACTTATATTTTCTAGTTCCGGTAAGTAAATCTGGGGAATAGCTTTCCATCCCTTGAGGTTAAATAGCAAAGAAAGAGTTTGCTGAGGCACTTGTTCTTTTGAATTTCCCTGGAGGGCAGCAGCTGGCTGTAGGAAAGAACAGAAAGGAATCTAAATGTTCCCTCCTCCCTGGTTGTGGGATGAAATCTGACAAGATGTTGAGAAGAATAGAACTGCCACAGACTTCTGAGTGCAGTGAGTAGCCAAGTAGGGCAGAACTAGAGTTTGGTTTTATTTATTTGTTTTCAATGCATGTGCCTCATTCCTTTCAAAGCTAATTTTTCTCTGTGGCCAAATTGCCATCTAAGATGGGGCTACCCAATATTCCCTTGTTCACACTTCCTCCTTTGAAACCTTATCCTTTTCTTTAAATCTAACACCTGAGTTCTGATTTGTTGATGTGCACCAGTACTATTTTAGAAAGACATTTGGACTGCCAGTGGTCATCTTGGCAAGGTGTGCCCTGGTAATGTGCCTCAAAAGAACTAGATCTCTTCAGCTGGACTACCAAATACTAGGGTTTAGGGGCCCTTGGATTTCTCAAATTGCAGGATGGGGAAAGTCTTCTCTTTCTTTTGGCCTTGTATCCATAACCCTGGTTGAAGGGAGAGAAGAAGCAGGTGACAACAGCAAATAACCAGTGGAAGACAATAACTGCTCCTCATCATGTACAGCCCTAGTGATTGGGAGAATCTTACAGTAGAGTTGAAGGTGAATCCTTGAGGACAACTTACTAAATGTTCTCAGACCCTTAGGCCTCTTTAGCATGAGTCATCCAGGCAATACAACCAAAAATCTCTGCTGTTTACAGAAATTTCAGGGGCCTCTTCCCTTCTCACCTCCATCTTCTATAGACTGAATAAACACCTGCTGTGGAGAGAGCAGAGGAAGGAGAACGAATGGAGCTGAATTTCCGGCAGGGAAAGTCTCTGCTCCCCTCCTCCTTTGCTTTGGTATAATAGCATTCTTGCTGAAGATAACCATTTTAGAAAGTGACTCAGAAAGTGAATTGGCACAGCATCCTTTTTTGTTGTTGGGATTAGACCCTACCTGCAAAATTTAAAGTAGGTGGTGCAGGAAATTACAACAGGTGGCAGCACCTAGCCCAATGTTTCTCAACCTCGGCAGCTTGAAGATGTGTGGACTTCAGCTCCCAGAATTCCCCAGCCAGCATG